AATTTTTGCTCCATGGCTGAAATGTGAAACTTTTACTTGTGACATTTAGTCATAAAAGTGGTCACTTTTGTGACGATTGTAGATAAAGATTATTTGAAGAATTAAAAAAATATTGCTCTTGTTTTCGTAGTTCTGAAAATTTGCAAATTGATTTAGGTTTATGATCTGCTTTAGTAAATCAAAAAAAATCATAATGGAAAAAATAAGTTCAACTTATTTGATTTCTCTTCCCATGAACCTACCCGAAAATTTTTTTCATATTTTTTAACTAAAATTTTTCTATCAATTTTTGATTGTGAAAATTAGTACAAAAATTCACCAGCTTCTGGACTAGAAAGTGTAAAAAAGTTATTTTTTTGAGTTTTGTGTTAAAGGTTTTAATTTTATTTTAAAACCTAGGTATTACTTTTTGATATTTGACTATTTCTAAATTTTAAAATTAAAGTCCTGAAGACAGAAAAAGAACAATTTTGAAATGTCCATAAAAAGTTTCATGAACCTACCTAAAAAACATCTTGTAGTAACAAAAATTAATATTTTGCTTTTTTTGTTATACAATAAATTTAAAATCGTTCCCCAGATATATTACTTTAAGAGCTTCATATCGTGTTTTTAAGGTTTCAATTTTTTTTTATTTCGTTTTTACGTTGCCTCAAAACTGTTATGTTTTAATAACTTTAGAGTATATTGTATGAAGAGAAAATGACTTAGTTTGTTAATATATCCTTTAATTTTGTCTTAATTAGTTCAATTTTAACACAGGTAAGAGCGCTTAATTAATCTCAAATTGCACACCACAATTTTCCGCAATAATCAATTCAGGAAAACAACATTGGTAAATCTCATGGCCAAAGTAATAAGGCTTAAGAGAAAAAACAGAGTTTTTACTCTATGCCTGATATGTAAAACTTTTACTTGTGACAGCAACTTTTAAGCCCCAAAATTATAATAAATTTTTATTTTATTAGTTTTTATTGATTTTTATTCTTCTTCTTTATTGTCTTCTTTATTATATATCATTTTTACAGCTTTCTTAATTAGTAAAAATTGTATATTGCAGTATTAGGAGCAAAAGCCATAGTTTATTTTGTCGAATATAGTGAGGTCATAAGCTCTCAGGCGCAAAAATTAAATTTTTGCTCCATGGCTGAAATGTGAAACTTTTACTTGTGACATTTAGTCATAAAAGTGGTCACTTTTGTGACGATTGTAG